TCTGTTCCCTGTAGTGTTAGACTTCACCCGAGATGGTTCGTACATGGCCCTGGCGGAGAGGAGAGACTGTAAGGACTACATCAGTGTCTTCTCCTGTAAACAGTGGCAGCTTATGAAGGTGGGGTGTCTCAGGAGACTCAAGAGATTGTCGAAATTGCAGTCCTCAAAATGGAACATTTCTTATATGGAGAGGAAGTTTCGTAGCATATTTACTTAGTAGCATTGGGATTAACCTGTACCAGGCTTCAGAAGGAAGAAGTAGAAATTGGCAAAATAGTACTAGTACATACATGTATGTACATTTAACTACTCCTGAACTGTACACCTTAAGCTGATCAACACCCCTGACATGTTATCTGTCTATTTGGCCAATTTCTACTCTTTCCAGCTGCTTCTGAAGGCTGTTATAAGCCACTCGTGCAGGTAGCAAAGGTATTTGCACTGGTCAGACAGTCTTTTCCATTTCAGGAGAAGATTATACAAATTGAAAATGTACACTGTATACAATACATGTATGTGACTAACAGAACCATTTCGAATTCCTAATGTCTAGTGTTATTATGACACATCTAAATTAGCAGTAGTACATGTAGTAGTAAATGAACTTTTTGCCTCCCAGCACTTTGAGACAGACACCAAAGACCTGGCAGGGATAGAGTGGGCTCCTAATGGCAGAGCTCTGGCTGTCTGGGACTCCATTCTAGATGTGAGTTTCTCCTTTGTTTCCCTTGCCTCCAACAGAGTAGTAAAACCTGTAGTGTAACTGTAAGAGACTTATTTATTTCAAGCACCGGGTCTCAAAATAATATTTCTGTTTGCTGCAGTTACTCAGTATTCTGGACCTACGTTTCATCACGTTAATAGTTACATATTCGTGTATTTCTCTGACATGCATCTCAAAAACTTTTCAGCAAATAAAAGGTTTTGAGTAGGTACCTTTGTAGTTCATGTTTGATTCTGCCTGTCTCCAGTACAAACTGCTGTTGTACTCCCTGGATGGGCGCTGCCTGTCTGCCTACAGTGCGTATGAGTGGGCACTCGGCATCAAGTCTGTCTCCTGGTCACCATCAAGCCAGTTCCTCGCTGTCGGCAGCTTCGATGAAAAGGTTGGGCTGTAGTTTTTATCTGTTATTTTTCATCTATCAGATTCCTTGTGTATGAGTGTCCACCATGACATTACAGCCAGCAAGTGGTAGTTAAGGTTAGAACTATGTCAATGAGTTTTTTCTTTGTTGAACTTGTAGGTTCGTTTGCTAAATCACCTGACCTGGAAGGTGATCATCGATTTCCCCCACCCTCCCCTGGTGGAAGGCAAGGCTGTGAGTATGACTCAGTTCCTATCACATAAAGACATTCAGTGAGTTATTCAACTCTCTTCCTTTTTCATGAAATATTGACCGAGAAATGTTGATATAAGTTAAAGTGGAATGTTCTCTCTGTAGATGATCACTGATAGATGAAGAAAACCGGTATTTTTTTTTTTTGATAGAGAACCAACACCTTTTGATTTCCCGATATCTTCTGTCCTCCAGGTTGTTTACAAAGAGATAGAGAAGAAGCTCCCCCGTCTGCAGGGAGAAGTGGACCCTCCTGGTGGAGCTGTGTTCACAGGATCCAGCCACTGTGAGTTCTGCTCAGTTTTCATGTCTCTATGTTTGAGTTTGAGCCAACACATGTTTGAGGTACATGTATGTGTACATATTATGTTCTAAGTAGGTATCACAGAAGTCAGGAAATTATTGCTGTACTAGCCTAATAGCCTAAACTGCTTATGGTGTTGAATGTCAAAGTGGTTCCTAGCATTCCAGGCAAGACATTGTGTCCTTGGAAAAGGCACTTTACACAAGTTTCATCACTTCACCCAGTTGTAAAATGGGTATCTGACTTTGGTTGGGGAGGTACAAGGCAGTTGAAAGAGAGGGATGGACTCTGCCTCCCAATACCTAAGACATGGGATTGACAACCCACTGCCCCTACGACCTCAAAAGGGGTATGGGGCTACCTTTACCTTTTTCTTTAATTGTGCTAAAACATATATGTCCAAAGTCCAAACCTTGTACCTTCCTCCAGATGAGGTGATCTCAGAGCGGCCAGCCCAGGTTCCTGTTGTGAAGGCTGACCCAGAGAAGGCCAACCCTAAGATCGGAGTCAGTCTGGCTGCCTTCAGTCCTGACAGCAAGTATCTCGTTACCAGAAATGGTAAGTAGAAGGAGTTGTGGAATTTCTATACTAGTTGTTTCAAAAGGTGTTTTCTTTTGTTTTCATCTTGCTAATTTTTCATCCTTGAAATGGCAGCAAAGCAATTAAGAGAAAGGAAATAGTTTCTGTTGCCCGAGTTTACAATGTACAGTCAAAAATATGCCCAAGCAGCCACCTCTTCAAGCTGACCACCTGTTCATAACAACCACTTTTTTCCCAGTGCTCATGTTTTTGGGGGGCACAGGTGCAAGCATTAGTAAGTGACCTGCCTAAGAAGGCCACCTGTCCAAGAAGACCTTTCCCTGGGTGACCTTCTTGGGTATGTTTGACTGTACCTTATTTTACCCTTAAAGTAATATGGCTACCCCTCTCTCCCTCTTCCTAGACAACATGCCGTGTGCGCTGTGGATCTGGGACATCCGACAGTTGGCACAGGTGGCCATCCTGCTGCAGGCAGCGCCTGTCAACATGTGGAGTGGGACCCCTGTCAGCCCAGACTAGCCTTCTGTACAGGCACCAACAAAGTCTACATGTGGTCACCTGCAGGGGCCTTGTCTGTGGATGTACCTGTCGAAGGTGAGAGTCAACATTTGACCTTCAAATTTTTTATTACGTTTTTTAGCAACAAAGATATCAAGAACTCAAATGATGTGGACTTGTATGTTGTACTACATATGTCTAAAAACGTGTATTTAGATTTCTTAGGACTTAAAATGATGTAAACTGTATCTTTGTTAACATTACATATTTTGTCTGACCCTTACCTCTTTCTTCATAACCTCAATGAAAAGTGGCCTGGAGGCAGATCTTTGCTTCTCATGAATAAGAATGGTTCAAACAAAAAAACATACAAGATAAAAGTTTGTTTTCATAAAGTACAAAGTAAGAAGTAAAAAAAAAGAATGTTCTCAATCTTTTGATCTGGATTTTTGTCTCCCTCATAGCGTCCTTCCTAGTGCAGTCCCTGAGATGGCACCCAGAGGGCGGCGCTGTACTGCTCATGGGAAGGGAGAACATGTGTATGTGCTTCATCGACCGTGAAAAGAACAGGTGACAATAACTTTCAAGAAGAGATGGATCACACAACTGTCAATCACAAGGCATAATGTTAGATGTGTATACATAGTAATATATATGATATTGTTTGGTATATGTAGGCAACATCCTAATAAGTAACATGCAAGTTTTGCAGACTAGATGGACTGTATGAACGTTTAAATGACAGCTTTATTGACACACACAGAAAAAAATACACATAAATAGATAAAGAACATATGCTTAGAATACTTAGAACATTCAAACTATGCTTACAGTAATGTGTGTTGTACAAAATTGGGGTAACGTTATATAGCTTTGGTACATTCAAGGGCATACATGTAGCATTGTTTGGCAGTCTTGCATTTGACATTGAGAAGTGAAACAAAATTTGAGAGCAAAATTATACTTGTACATGTATTACAAAACATAAACACATCATCTGTAATCTGACCACAAAAGATTTCATATAAAAGTTCTATAACTACAGTTACTGTAAATATAATGTGTACATTATTCTGCCATTGCTCTTTGTTTTTCCTATAAGTATGTATACATGTACAAAATATGCTGAATGTGCTGTAGTCATTTTCATCCTAGAATAACTCATGAAAACAGGCTTTACAGTAAACATGGTTAGCAGTTGAATAACAAAATTAATGTATGTATCATTGTATGTATGTGCTATCTTTTAAAAAATATTGTTTGAAATAAAGTGTCATGATGTCAAGTTAAACTAAAGACTTGAATGTATCTACATACTGACCTCACTTGATAACTAAGTAGTACTGAAAAAAACACCACACAACAATTTGAAGTAGCACTCTAACATTGCCTTATAGATAGCAAAAACATGCATGTTTTGAAACAAAATTCACTTATCTACAAGTTAAACCAGGTGAACTTTCAAGACTTGGTGGCAGGAATGCTGACCTGAGCTGGAAGTGTGATTCTTTATGGTTCAATATTCAATACCATCAAAAGGGTGTATGTGTGGTATCTTTATGTTCATTGAGTTCCACTATTTTTTGTTACTGATGAGAAGACAATTTTGGTATCACAGGCACTTTAATTGTTTTCTTGAGAATCCCTGATATGTAACAGAAGTCTCTACTCACTAGTCAGGCCTTGAAATTCACTTTTTTTTTCCTATTGTCCCAACACTCTTCCAAAAATAAATTTCAATTGTCCCGAAGTGAGGATAAACTGTCCCAACCTGTTTTTCAGGAAGTGAACTTAAGAAAGCTTTATGTAGGTTACATTCTAACTTCCAGGCACGCTATGACTGCAGAGTAAATGGGAAATTTTGGGAAGCTTTTTCCGGAGTCTATAGACTGTGTTTTCAGCCTTCAGGTAGAATTACAGGTGTTTAATGATCACTCTTGTGTGTTCTTCTACTTTCATTTTCTGCGTTGTTGGCCATTCTTTCCTATTTGTGAAACTTAACTGTGTCTTTGTGAACCCTGCTGACTGCAAACATTCAGTCAGCTAGTGCTATTTCCTAGCCTAAGTAGGTAACAGTAATTTAAAAGGCCCTTTAAACATGTCATCATCCATGAATAGGACTAAATGAATCAGCATATTGCTTCAGACAACCTACCTCTACATTTCCCATGCAGAAAGAAGGAAGCTGCAACGGTTAACTGTTTGGTCATTGGTCTGTGTCGCAGGTAACATTTGTCAGGTGAACTGTAATTGGATGGTGGTTACCTGGGCAGGTGTGACATGGGGGGAATGCCCATATCCGGGAAATGGTAACCTGACTACGTGGCATGGTATAAACAAGCTGTCATACCTGGTGTGGTTTTTGCATGTGAGAAGAGTCCCTTGGTTAATCTCCAGCAGCATGAGCGGGGCAAAAGGAAAGTCGAGGCCTGATCACGGCGACGTTCTGAAATTTGACCATGGACCAAAGAGTTTCAAAACCTCCTTGGGTGGACAACAGATCAGTCACTACGGTATCTACAATAAGGAAGACGACAAAGTCATCCACAAGACTGGGCCAAAAAGGACACATCTATCGTCTGGCTCTGGAAAGTCCAACAAATCAGAGGTATTTTTATGATCTTGAAATTGTTCGTATCATCACAGGGGTCGTTATCCAATTGCCCCCAAACGACTGGGGGTTAAAGACTTTTCCACTCAAGAGGTTGATTTTAGAGCTAGTGCAAAGTAGCGAGTTTACAAACTGATGACACCTTGGCTAGATGAAAACTCCAAGCCTGCGAACCACCCTACATGTACGTAGTACATGCGGATGAATTGAAAGTATTGGCTTGGAGTTGTGAGAAAGATGTAAGGTGAATACTGGTATTTCAAGATAGATTCTAGTGGATTCCTTTACTTCCCTGGCGGCTCATTATGATCAACATGCAATCTATTATTCATGTTCACATGCATGTCTAGAGATCTCAGCATTATTAAGGTAATTTCTTAGGAGAAATGGTAATTCTACTGACACTGTACCCAATATACAGTTTCGTTTTCGGTCAGCTACTAGTTATCATATGATAACTTTTTGTTTATAGGTTAAGAGTGAAAGCTATGCCAGGGTGGCAGGGCGTTATGACAGCGTCACTATTCACAACCGGCCACAGGAGAGCCGTTACTCGGCAGAGAGGGTGGTGCAGAATGCAGAGGCCCGAGAAGGTGAAACCAGTTACAACCTGGTGTCTGACAACTGTGAAACCTTCGCAAGGGAGTGCGAGACCGGGAAAAAAGAGAGTGATCAGGTTTGTGTCTCCTCATTATGTCACTAATGTTTACATCCATCTAGGTGACACGATTCTTAGATGGAGAAACATCTCTGTACCAATATTTATCAGATTACCGATAGAAACAAACTCACCTACTGTATACAGCTTTTTGAGTATAATGTCCAATGTTGGAGACCTCACTCTCACTTTTTTTAAATTCAAAAATTCTTGCCAAAGAGAACTTTTCTGAACTGTGCTGTAATGATGTTTCAAAGACTTGTTATTTCAAAGTATGCAGTTGATTTCCTTAATCGCTAATTCTGCGGATGCTGTTATTTGTTTCAGGTGAGGAAGGTGGGCATGGCTCTGGTGAACGCTTATACTGGAGGGTCTGCCTAAATACCTCAACCAACCTCAGAC